TACAGGTTTCGTCTTTTGTAAACGCGCGTGGATACAAAACACGAACCTCACAAACACGTACATTAACAGAGGAAAAAGAGAAGAAGTAGGAGGGGGAAAAGGGAAGAACATGCGTGGATATATCTTTGCTATTCTTTCGTGTGTGTAGGTGTGTGTGTACGTGAGCTGGGTTTTGTAGGCATTCGCGTGTGTATGTGGAACTGTTTGTATTTGGAAGTGTGAGTAGGTGGCCGTGTTTGTTGTATGTGTATGTGAATTATGTTTGCATGTGGGCGTGCATGGGGAGTGCGCTGTGTTTGTATGTATTATGCACGTACGTAAACTGTTTGTACGTGTAGGTGTATGTAGGAGAGCTCTGTCTGTACATACATAAGTACCTATGTCTGTATGGACGTATGTATGTATGTCAGCTATGTTCGCATGTGTACGAGTATATAAGCGAGTTGTGTCTGTTTGTAAGTATATGTATATAGAATGTTTGTCATGATATGTGTATGTACGGTAGCTATGTTTCCACGTACACGTGAAGGCATATAAACCGTGTCTGTATATATGTACATTATTAAGCGTTATACAAATACATTTATGTATCTTTCGTGTTTAAATATCAAATTGCATATATTTGTGGAATACTAAACATGTTATCTCCATATTCAATTTTATACCTATATCTATAAGCATCTTTTTATTTTACATCAATGCATCAGCATTTCCAAATATACAAAGGTTATGCATGTATCTAGAGGTCTATATAAATCCAAAATTTAATACAATGACGAAACATTATCATTAAAACCCAAGTGATATCTGCCATTAATGCACTGTGCTATCAATGGATCAACACTAACATTTATCCAACTGTTCGTATCAATATAAACATCAACATTAATCGTTCCAGAACACACAGCTACTAATGACGTTATTTTGAGACGAAGATGGACATAGACACGGTGAAGACCTGATACTCAACGTGCGAAGCATGTTGCTTGTTTCGTAACATGTCGATTGTTACCTAGAGTGCCAACATGAACCGAAGTGCAGACATAGAATGTTGGGTGCAACTTTCGCTTATGAAGATTAAGTCATAGGGATACCAGAACAACACACAATAACAACATAATGATTGATGATTGGTGATGGCGTGATAGGTTTGATAGGTTAGTTATTGGTAGATAGTGATAGTGATGTGATAGTGATAGTGATAGTAATGGTGAAAGTGATTAGTGGGTGAAAGAGTGGTGAACAATGTGGTGAATTGGTAATTGGTAATTTGGATAGAATTGACTGGATAGAAATGAGAGGAAATCAATGATTGTGATAGTGAAAGTATATAGATAGATTGATAATAGTTTGAATCATGAATATGAAATAATAGAGTAAATGGAATAACATTAGAGTGAATGATTATGGTGTAAAATGAGCAGTTGAGTATAAGCTTGCGCCGCAATGGATTGGAGCGAGTGACGGAAGTAATAAAATGTCGCAATATCGATGAAAGAGGAGAATGATAACAAGAGAATTTAATAACTTTTGTCCGAACGAGACGAAAAACATAATTTTAGCGAGATGACACTTTACCATCAGATGCGAGCCAACACTTCAATGGAACAGCTGACACGAAGTCATAATAGCCATTGCCATCAGAAAGCAAAATCTTCAGCTGCACACATCACAATGCTGGAAAAAAAATTGGCACTACGTCTGCCGTGTATTGGCACTCCCGTCTCAACTCTGGCACCGGATCGGCGAAACGAGTGTTCAAAATACCGCATTAAAATAAAGCGCTGGCACCGGTCGCGTCATCAAATAAACAAACAAAAGGCTTTGTGTAATTCCTATTAATAAAACCGGCAATTTTGTTTACGTGTTTCTATTTATTTACACGGGGGCCTATCTAGAGAACGCGGGCTCGCATGTAAAAATAGTCGAGTGAGCAGAGAAATGCCAAACATTTACACAAACATAAACATGCACTTAATCTTGTGCACATGTGCAAATATATGTCTGTGGTCGTGGTTAGTGCGTGTGCGTGTTGACGTTTGTGTGTGTTGTATGTAGAGTGTTTTGTGTGTGTGTGGTGTTGTGTGTTATATTCTGTGACTGCGTACGTCTGTCTGTCTGCAAAATGACCGCACGCGCGCGCGCAGTGAGAGAAGAGAGGGGGCGCAGTGATGAGTGAGAGGTGTGTGTGTGTGCACCGTATAGTGTGCCGTGATCTGTGAGTTGCGAGTTATGTACCTGTGTCTATTTTATTGCGTCTGGGTTTTGTGTTTGTATCTTGCGTTGTGTCTCTTTGTTTTGGTTGTGCGTGCAGTGCGAGCGTCCGCCAATATAAAGCTCGACCATCATCGTTGTGCAAAACCGCCTAACCCCGGAGGAGGAAAACGAGCTCGCAAAAGCATTTGTTTATCCCTTCCTACACCCGAAGGCCCGGGAGGTGGCGCAGCTGGGCACTGAGCATTTCGAACCGCGGAGTCCCTCACTTGGCTGGAGACGGCGG